CGGCCCGAATGTGCAAATACAGGCTAACAGGCCGCGTTCCATCCTCCAGGATGCCGCTTATTTAACCCATTTTTTAAAGTGACACTCCATGCTGTCAGCTGGTGTGTGTGTGCGCATACTTAGAAGCCTAAGTGGACTGGACTGCTGCTGTCTGTGCCGACGGATGCAGTGCAGGGCCTCGGGGGGGCAGTGCACCGTGCTGAGTGCCCGCGTGCGGGCCCACTGCCTGCCAACGGGGGGTGCCTGCGGTGACTTCACCCATCACTCCCACCAAGAGGGGCAGTGGGAGGAAGCGGGGGATGCGAAGCTGGGGTGATGGCGTGGTTGGGGTTGGGTTACTGCTCAGTGATGGGGCGTGGGAAAAAGAAAGCCCAAGCTGGAAGGAGGAGTGGGTGTCCTCACCACAGGGGCAGAGGGACGCGGCATGCCGTGCCAGTTCCAGTCGTGGGAATTGGTGTCCTTGAGCCAATTAAGGAGGGCTGGGGAGGGCCCCTCCAGCCACCTTTGCCAAGGAGGATGGCCTGGAGTCCTGAAGGGTAGCTCCACAGGCAGCGTGGGTCTTGGACCTCATAAGCGCACCTTGCCAAGCTCCTGGTCATCCAGGGTGCCAGACAGAGTGAAGGCTGTAATCTCAGAAGGGGAAGGATTTGCTGTCCTACCCTTTGAGTTCTCTGGAAAAGCCCACCTGTAGCACCGTGGGGGCAGGCGGGGCAGCTGGGCAGGGAAGACACTGGTTCTGAAACATGCCTGACCCTGGGGTCAACTGGCCTGCGTGGCCATAGCGAGCTGGCAGAAGTCACCCAGCTCTGACCTTCAATGGGTGTCCACTGGGAAGGGGGCGGACACAGGAAAATGGGGGTGTCCAAGTCCATCTGTTTCTAGCTCCCCAACAGCCTCGTCCTGAGGTGATGACTGGGCCATTGGGGGTCTTCAATGGTGCTCCCCCCCGACCCCCCCAGTTTGCATGAGGTCCCTTGAGCTCTCGTCTGCTGCTTGTCTGGCAGAAATAATTTGTAACTGCCAGCCCCCAGGTTGTAGGAGCCCGCTCATGGCCATGCCCTGAGGGGCCTCGCTCCTCCGTCCGGCCTCCCCTCCCTTCTGGGCAGAGGGGCACCAGCACCCCCAACCTGCAGGCCCAGCAGAGGCCCTGGAGCCAGCTGCCCTGCCAGGGAGGCGGGAGGAGGTGCTCCCCTGGAACTCACAAGTGCCGGGGTGACTCAGACGTGCAGCCCCGCCCAGGTGTGCGGCCTTGACTCAAGATGTGTAACCCTGGCCCAAGTGTCCGCCCTCGACCTCTCCCAGCCCCAGGTCCCCACCTGTGAACAGCGACGACGCTGCCGTGGGAATTCTCACGTGAACGCTGCCCCAGGATGGTCCCCCATCTCACAGGGACTCACCGACCACTCAGGGAAGAGACCACTGGGCCTCAGCCTCGTCACTCGCTCAGCTCGAGACATCCTGTTCCCTCCCAGACGTCCACTTGCTGCATGTCCCAGCAGAGGGACCTCCCGGTGGCTGTAGTGAAGAACTCACTGCACGCCCCGGACCCCGCCACGAGGACGCGCCAGCCCGGAAGCACGGCCTCAGCTGTCGCAAGCTGTCGGCGTGGTGCGCGTGCAAAGCTGTTTACAGGGAGGGGTGGAAGTGCTGCGGTCTCACCCTCCAGGATCAGAGATGTGGAGACTGGGGGGGTGTTACAGAGCCCAGGAAGTGGGGCCCCTGGGCTCTGGGGTTGGAGACAGCCTGCAGTTGGGTTGGATTTCCAGGTAGGAAGGAAGCATTGACATTTCAAAGGGAGGTCATGTCACACACCGTCCTTCCCCCAGCACCTGTGGGTTTTGTTGTTGAAGGGAAAATGTGATGAAATTTCCACCGCGACACACAGATATTGATGTCTGTGGCCACTGAATCGACCTCCCTGTTGTATTGTTTGCTTTTTAATACAGCTGCCTGCCCGTCAGGCCTTGCCCCAGGTCTGACACTGGCCACCCAGTCCCTTTCGAACCACGGCCCCCACAATGCTTCCGGCTATCACCGGTCCCACTGCAAGGTGAATAAAATGGCATTGACGATAAACGTCCACTCTGTAGCTCTTAGGGGAGGCTGGTGGGTTTGTCACATCAGAGACATTCGGCTGTGGTGCTGGGCAGGGCCCCCTGGATGAGCAAGCAATACAGATGTGGCCACTTGCCTGGCCTCATGGCCTCTCCATCATAGAAAATGGGCTGGCGTGGGGGCCATGGGGCAGAGGACCGGCAGTGCTGGCCAGGGGGCTGC